TTTATCAAGGTTTATCTTATCACCATACACCTCTTTCAATCGATATCGTACATATGCATGGAGTTTCTCGTATAATGGTTTTATGTCTGCGTACATATGCCACATATCTTCTTCCAGATTTTCATCTTCGTAATTAGCTCTCCAGTAATCACCATAATCGTCATACCCTTATATAGAAATAGTCATAATATTTCAGATATAGCGGAACAATAATGATAGCTTATACACTCTTTACCTATTTAGTATTTTCTTAGAATGGTGGCAAATATATTGAACACTGAGATGAATACTTTCCGTTTTCGACATTGTGAAATTCTTTCGTTTTTATGCAGAAAAATACAACATTTTTACCAAGTAAAATCATATTTATTAAAGTTATTGTTCATACATGAGTTGTAGAACACACTGCATAGTTTGTAATTTTATTCAGCTCCTTTCAGTCATAATTCAAGGCAAATAAAAGGCAATAATATAGAGAATATAGCAAATTATCTTTCTGTAATATTCTTGTGTAATCGGTAATTATGTAAATTATTTAAGGGTGCATATGAAATACATTTTGTCACAAATTATTCTTATTATATATTTCTGAATTATCTTCCCAAAGTCAGTTTTTTGTCAGTTTTTTTTTTCTCCCGAAAAACGAACGAAGTCTTTATCGTAGTGTTATTGTCAGAATAATGCCCCACACAAATTATATGATTGGCAAACGCAAAGAATAATTTGTTCTTACCATTTAAAACTGAAGCTTTGTTCTTCAATTCAACATATTCAACATAAATAGAACGCATTGGGCGACCGACATCGTCTCTCCACTTTTTCCAAACCCAAAGGCGTTCGTCGTAATTGCGTGAATTTGCCATGATATCAGTCAAATCTATTTTTGATATAGAAATATGGAGAGAGAGAAAACAACTACGCATGAATGTAATTTTAGAATTATTTAATAAAACTGATAACATATGTAAAATGATAGGTTTGCTGAATGTCAATTTCATTATCCGCAAACACGTGATGTAATTGAGGCTTCATTTATATCCGATTTGTTTGTAAAAGTGACAGAATAACTTTACATGATTTATGTAATTCAATTGTGCCAATGCGTACCAAAAACGTGATAGTAATAATAGTACTGTTTAACATTATTTCGCCCAAATGAAAAGGACAATCAATTTAGATAAAAATCTACAGTTTTGCACACGGCACTTCAAGATCCAGGCGCATGGGTTTCCCAGACGCTATGGATCATTGGTGCTTTATGTATGGCAATTCTAAACACGTGTAAGCGATATGCAAACATATTACGTCTGGGTAAAACTGGATCAATTAATTAACACGGGCACGTTGAAATGATGAAAGCATTTGTGGAACACTTACATGGGTCCTGTGGGTAACAATCAGTGCTGTCATCCGGCTTGCACACTTCACCAGTAGCATAGAGTAAACTCATATTATTAAGAACACCTTGTAACTGAAACATTAATAAATTGATTAATCATTATTAAATTGTTGTACAGTGACAACAGCTCATAAGGATAGGCCTGGGTAATGTCAGACATCAAATATATTATTATTACTATAAATTTGCTTCATTATTGGCTATACTTTTTTTTAAAACAGATTTCACCTAATATTGAAGGGAGTGGGGCATGGCTGGAATTGTATCGCTATATGTAAGCTCAAAAAAGCATAATTGGAGATTAAACTTTACACAAGTATATAACTAAACCACGCCACACAGCAGCTTTTATTTATTTATGAGATAACACGTATCAGTAGTTATACTTACATGGGCACTCATTTCCATTCTATACGTGAGTTTATTATTTCATAAACTAGGCTAATACCGAATGCCCAGGTAATATGTTGAACCACCGTCGTATTTTTTTCGGTTTATATCAAGAATATAAATATATTTGTATGACTTGATATGATGGTGATATTATGATTTCATCACAGTGAATACAAATTGTAGATATGTGAGACTTCCCTACCAGTCGTTATACGAGGAGTGAACTCTGCACTTACGTGAGCGAAATCGTCGTCATCTAGAACAGCATCTCCGATAGATGTGATGAATTCTAGTTCCCTAGCAACGGGATCGGAATAACTATCAAGATAGGGTGTATATACATCTGCTTCTTCGGCTGAAGTTGAAGCGAACTTCGAGTAGTCTTCAGCTGCAACTTGCTAAATATAAAAAACATACAGGCAGGGAATATTTCCAAAATCTTTCAAGCCGTGATTCTTAGATAAACTCTATCATGTACATATTATCTATCACGCAACCTCCCAACCCACACGAAGACACTCAGATAATATATGTGAATCATATTGAAGATGGAGTGTTAAAGTATTACTGTTGTGCTGAGTTGTGATGCCACTCTCGCGCCAGCAGTCGATGTTTACCTCAATTGTGGCTATATGTTACAATTCAACAAATATTTCGTTTATCACGACTTCGCTGTTATTGGCAGTAGTAATATCAAGGATCAAACGGAGACGGAAACACCGTCAATGGTGCCTCTTGTTGGTAGACAGGATTGAATTACGCAAACCGTTTCTGCTTGTTGTTATTACGTGATCACAAGACCATTATGTATTTCTTCGGATTTCTTTTTTTGTTGTTCTCGAAAACAAAAACAGAAAACAATAATTTGTCGTCTACCTCTGCAAAATAAATGCACAAGTCAATACGAGTTATTAGGCTATCATGAAAACATAAAGAGACATCTCGTGTCAGGAAAGGTTTTACATGCGACTAATCACCAGTTATTTATTGGTGTTCTTCCACACAGATTACAGATGTATTATTGAAATGACAGTATACAGCCATATGTGAGTTTTATGTAATCATTGTTAAGAAGAACTGTAATTTATGTTATAACGCATTATAACGTGTTAGCTAATCCAGTGTTGTTTTCCGTCATTGTGTGTTCGGTGTTTTTTACACAGTTGGCGTTTGATATTTAAATATTGCTCACTGAATCAGATCCCAAAGCCCTTCAATCGTGCTTCTCCTCACACGAAGCTTCCGTCTTCTCTTCTTAATTTCAGTATTAATACGTGACATAGGGTATGGGAGACTGGTCTCATGTTGGATGGCGACGATAACAATTGTTGATACTGTGTTGTTCTGACGTAGTGCTTGTAAAACTTCGAACGAATCCGCAGAATACCTGGTTCTTTTCTTTTGTAAGATTTATTATTTAGTTTTCATATCATAACATATTTCAGATTATTTAATAATTATTTATTTATTTAAATAATGAAATACTTAAATTAAATAATGTGAGACTTTAGAGCTGTTGTCTTCGCCCGTAGAAGTGAATAATTTATAAATAAGTAAATATTGCAGGTTTTGAGTTGTTTATCTTTAATAATGTGTTTATCTATGTCCTGCATTTTCGCAAGGGTTTGATACCGGTAAAACTATAAGCTTTGTTGACAGATATCGTACTTGAACGTTTACGTGGTCGATTCTACCAAGGTTCTTCTTTACGAGGTTACAGGGGATTTTGCGTTAACACCTCCCCTTCGCGATATTTTTATTTATTTTAAACTTTAATAACAAATAAATCGCCTAGACTGTGTCAGTCTTAGTCTTATGTTGTGAATTGATGTCACAGTATGTTTGTGTAGACATACTATCATTTCGGCAAATGACACTTGTCAAACTCAGCGAATCCCAATCCAGCGTCCAAGTCATTTAGCAGAAGAACGAACAACATTATAGTCTAGAATATCCCGACAAGGTACGACAAGTAGTGAAGCTTATTTATAATTGTAAACCGAGTTATGTATTTTATTTATTTGTACGTCGTTTTTTATGGCAAATGTGGTTTTGATTATTTGAATAAAAACACTAAAAATTTTGCCCGTGTTTATAAGATTCTGGTTTCAACTCTTGAATTTACGACCATTGACACGTGATAATGAATTATTACAAATTATACCAGGAATAAAACGATAAAATTAAAAATTAAAATTGAATATAAGCGTTCTATTTACAGCGCTGAGTTAATTTGTATAAGTAGTCTATCACACATTTTATCGTCAACAATTAACATCATTCATGCATACCACGTGACATTAAAATCATCATTGTAATACGTGTCGTTGCATGGAAACTCTGAATCCGAATTGGCTTGGATGCTATAGGCGCTAATTGTGAAACTTGCGTTTGGCTACCACTCTTGGCTGGGTTTTTAAAATGAAATCTGGCCAGTATGTCAAAAGACAAAAGACGATTTCTTACCAGTATGTCCATATGAAAGACAACAGACGATTTCCTTCAAGTATGTCCATTTGAAAGACAACAGACGATTTCTTACCAGTATGTCCATATGAAAGACAACAGACGATTTCTTACCAGTATGTCCATTTGAAAGACAACAGACGATTTCTTACCAGTATGTCCATATGAATCACAACAGACGATTACTTACCAGTATGTCCACATGAAACACAACAGACGATTACTTACCAGTATGTCCATATGAAACACAACAGACGATTTTTTACCAGTATGTCCATATGAAACACAACAGACGATTACTTACCAGTATGTCCATATGAAAGACAACAAACGATTTCTTACCAGTATGTCCATATGAAGACAACAGACTTACCA